TTTTCCAGGCCCATCCAATGGATGGAGATACAAAGCAGCCTTCTCCGCCATCGTTATCATGTTGTTGCCGCCTTCCGCGAGCATGTCTCCACTTTTTGTTGTCTTTTCATCGTTTCCACCTCCTACCATCTTTCTTCTCTTCTATGCTTTGATTTGAAAATTTGTTTTTGAGTTTTCTAGGATCTCTCTGATACCATGACAAAGAGTAAAGAGAATGTTCTGCCGTCTCTTATTCCATATGAATAGTTTATATACAAGTACAAGTCTCAAGCTAACCCTAGATATTATGGAATGTTAACATATTTAGAGATATAGTAATATACTATATGCTATTTACATAAGTCTCTCGAATCAGGAATATGGTCGTTTACACACTCAAACTAGTGGTACTGCAACTGATATGTATCCACGTGTATTGATGAATTGTCAGTACTGAAGCCGCTACCACAAATCTTGATCAGGAGGAGTAATTTTATTTTATTTTTTGTCAACAATCACCATATATTAAATCAAGTACTACCGATCGGATAGTTTTTTTTATGGGTAACCCCAAACGGAAATGTTTCACTTACATGGAAAAATATATAACTTCGTGCTCGATTTCCCTTTGCAAGAGAGTCGGTCTGGACATTACCGCAATGTAGAATATAAACTAAAATAAAAAATACAAAGGATTATCTTATCATAGTAAACTAATCAAGCTCTGCTTAAGGAGGAGTACTATCATTACAAATTTGTCGAACATTCTTTTCATAATTCTCGAATGTTTCATCGTAAAAGAAAGTATGTATTGTCTTCTTTTTTGTGTGCCGGCAAGTATGTATTGTCCTTAACCGTATTTATTATAGTAATACTGTTTCATTGTCTCCTTTTAAAAAAAAAATCTATTAAAGGTTTGGCAAAATTGTCACACTTACTCCATGCATTATTTTTGATTTATTTCCTTTTCAAACAAAAAAAACAAATTGTGAAAAAAATTATAAATTATTTTGTTTTATTTTTACTTTTTGGGCTTTGCAAATAAAAAAAGTTTTCATACACTTCAGTAGATAACACACATACTAGCAATGTATATATATCTCTCTCTCTAAATTACAGAAAATACAGAATTTGTTTTATTTTCTGCTACTCACCCTAAAAATGAGAATTTACTACCAAAAAGACCAATATATGGTGCTATTCTTACGTTGTATGGAAACTTTATTTAATGATGTTTCATGGTTCGGAATCAGAATCAGAATCTTTTGAAAGCGTTACGAAAACGCGATTCCAAAAGTTACCAATTTGAAAGTGTCGTGGAAGCGTCTGATTCTATTTTGGAATAACAACGAAAGCGTTTTTATTTTTGGAAAGATAAAATGATAAAAATTAAGAAACTTATAAGATTGTGTTGATATTTTATAATTTAGAAAAAAAAACAGTCTAAAGAAATAAACATAAATATGAATCGTCAATTTGAAAGCATTATTGTTTGTTTTTTCTAGTTAAGTTGCTTAATACTTTTTTTGTTTGTATTGGATTTGTGCTCCAACTTTTTAAACTGTGTTACGGGTGTATTCTTCCCCTTGAACATTTCAAAATGGCTCATCCTCCATAGACTCAGAGCCGTTCCTACGGTAACGAAGGCCGGAAGCCATTAAAA